GGGGGGGGGGGAGCCTCGAATTTTTTTTAGTGGAACAAGGGGGGCCTTCAAAGGTCAAAAGGAGGATTGAGAGGATTAGGAGGATTTTTTAAGCGATTGAAGGGGGTACCCGAAAAACATCAATGCTATTTTAGGTAGGGGTCTGGAAAATGTTTGGTATCAAAAACACTTTCTCCTCCACCAGCCCCCTCCCCTCCCCTCCGACTTAAATAATGACCGGTCCCTAAGCAATGCCACGCATTGTACATTGAAAAAATATTGGATCAAGATCAACAAGCATCAGTTTTCCATGACTTTTATCACGCTTCATCTCACTTAATTACAAGAATCTGCTTGCTTTTAGGCTTTCTTGTCCATGTATGTCCATTTTTAGTTTTTCTAGATTTCCTTTCATGTTCTTGTCAAGGAGATCCGAGAAGAAGGCAAGCCTCGAGTGGTGTTGAAGAGTGATTGATAATACTCATCTCATGGCACTTGATTCTATAATATCAAGTAGCTAAGCCGTTCGGCTATTTTAGGAAACACGACTTTTGAATGCCTTTTCTTGATGGAAGAATACTTGATCCTAACACTAGAAAACTATTGGCAATCACTAGTTTATCTCTCATCCTCAGGCTAGTTTTGATTGAACATACAATACTACATCAAGACTCTTCATAAAATAGATGAGCTTACCCTAGAGCTTTGGCGTCAAGCGTTATTCTCAATGATGACTCATGCGTTGACGTGCTTTGCCGTTTATTAAAGCATTTATCGTTTAGCCTCAAATGCTCGTGTTTTAGGTAATCAGGGCACGTGATGATTATCAAGCTTCGTTTCTTGGGAATCTGTGCATTTAGACTGATTTTTTAAATTGTTTTCGACGATTAGCGTAGGAAAAACAACCATAAACTAAACGACGATAATATGATAACCAAATGCCAGAAAATATATAGCAAAAAATAATCAATATCATGCGCGTGTACGCTGCCAAAAACAGCAACAACAGCAGCAGCAACAGCTTAACAGCAGCAGCAACAGCTTAACAGCAATGTCAACAACAACAGCCACAACTACTACAACAACAGCCACAACCTCAACAACAACAACAGCCACAACAACAACAACA